TATAATATTGATATTTAGATTATAGTAACTAGAGTATACAATGTATTGTTAACTTTAATGTATAGTTTTATATTACTGAGAAGATTATGATCTTCAATGAATAGAATGTTGCCACTTTCTGGTTGATGCCGCACATTTGGACGTTCTGGATGTCTGACCATTTGTGGAACTGCTGCTGCTGATCGTTGACGACCACAACCCCCTGGTCTTATAGCTCCACGAATGTGGAATGGCGGCAACACAGGTGGCAGAGGCTGAATTCCAACAATTGATATCTGTAGCTGTCCCAAATCTTCAGGAAGGATTTCTTTAACTCAATTTTATGGTCATTTACTTTATACAATCAATTGAATTTATGTGGTACCAACCATTAGCTAAAGGGCCTATTTCCATATTTGTGTATCCTTTCACAGAGTAGGAAGCTCTTCTTAAATATGCCATTGTGTCATAGCAGATGCTGTACGCTTTGTCGAGCATCAGCTGAAATGCAGTTATTTGTGTCTCTGCTAGACACAATTGATCTTTGTACCTTTAATTAAAGTTTGATTTATTAAAAACCATTTCAAAAATTTAAACTTATAAAGTTTATAGCCTTACTCGCTGGCATGTACATTTTGGTATCACCCTGGAGTAAATCCAAGCTTATTGAAATTGGCCCCATAATTGTTTGATATTGACACATGAAATAAATATCACTTCTATTAAATCTGAAAATATTGTTCATATAAAATATAGATAAAATAATTAATAATTTTTGAAGATTTACCATTTATCTGCCAATAGCCAATTTGTCAATTATTTTAAATTTATTTATTAAGCAGCACCACTGCATCATACAGTAAATTCCAACGTGTCTCGTTGGGTGTAATTAAAAAAACACCAAGATTTTGTTTAAATAAATCAGCTGACTTAGTTGAGCGACCTTGTTTATTCCACAAAGCGGTAGACTTGGCAAAAGTGCTTCTTGACAGTTTTTTGTATGCAAGATTAGACAAAACTTTTTTAGAGTCCTAGAAAAAACAAGTTATACAAATAAATTATTTGATTTTATATTTAATTTGTACAAATTTGTAATAAATAATAAAAAATAAAGCAAACATAATTTATTGATACTTAAAATTGAAATTTGGGCATAGATAATAGAAAATAGTTAATGCCAATCATATTCATACTAAACTTAGAATATTTTTTTTCATATATTTTTATCATTTAAATTGAAGGAAAATTTTTTAAAATTTTTATAAGTATTACAACTCATACAAATTTGATTATGATTATTAAGTGTTAAACCTACTACCTAATAGTTTTGGCCTGATTACTATACTTACTCAAAATATATTCTTTTCGATAAAAGTATTTTTAGTATTTTATAATTTAACTGTATTTGGTTATCTACTTAAATAAATGTTTAATTATCATTGTTGCTAATAAATTTATTGTGTGTGCACAACATCGATGGTGTTTTTGTAATGCATATGGCAAATCATGGTCTTCATCATTTAGAAAGTTCAAGTTGAATGCATCGATTTCTTCTAAATCATTAACAACCGTATCGTTCACTAGCATTGTATCAGTATATAATCATGTAGTCATGTAAATATCAACTACTTTTGTTAATGCTGCAACTAAAAACTATTAAATAAAAATAAAAATAAACAATAAACATTCTTACTTTGACTAGTAAATTTTTTGTTGTTCAAAAAATCTTCTAAAACTGGTTGTTTTTATCTGATTGTTTTAAAGAACTACCAGCATCATGCTTCAATGATCCATCATTGTATCTCCTTAATGTGTTTTTGTTCGCTGCGTTATCAATGTGATCAATTTTCTTTAATATAGTTGAATGTTGTGTCTGAATAAAATGAAATAATATAACCTTTTACTTAACATTATAAGTTTTGATAAATAATTTATATTTTTTGATCAGTGGTGCAACTGGGATTTATTTTTGAGCGGGGAGGGGGTTATTTATTTTATTTTATATACACAAGAATACTGGGCCCCTCTGAGATGACTAGTGTGAGGGCCCAGGGAAATACATAATATAGAATAATGAGATCTATGATACATCTTAAGCACTTGAAATTTGACTTTTAAAAAGCTGTGCGCCACTGTTTTTGATGTATTTTTGTAATATATTAGGTATTTGTGTGGTATTTAAAATTAATTTAACACACAAGATATTAGAAGGGTCAACTGTCATAGGCAGGTATGAAATTAACATTGTACTTACGCTTAAATGTTTTCTTATATTAGAGTTTGAATGTGATTCCACCTTGTAACACTTTGTATCGACACAACTTAAGCACTTCACTTTCAGCTTATTATAAAAAAAATTATCCTCAATGACTCTTAATAGTTAATACTTTAAAATATTTTTGATAATTTGGCCAGAGTAAAATTGGTTCTTCTAAATCTGCAACTTGATCGACTTCGGTTGAAGAATCACAATCACTCATTATATTACAATTTAAAACAATTTAAACAATGAAAACAAGAGTAAATGGTTGATGCAATACAATTATTAACAATCTGTCCGAACGTCAAGCAGACAACAGAGAACACGTCAACACGATACGAATAATACGAACTCAAGTAATAAATATTACAATAGTGTAAAACAGCGTAGAGGGCATACATGCAATATTGTAATAGTGTATAACTGATTGTGTGCTAATAAGTAATAACCAATCGGCAATTGGTTATTCGTAGTCCGTACACACAAAAATAATATTATTTTCTTATAAAATTATGCAAATAAGATAATACCACGTTCCTCATATTATTATGGTGCTATAGCCATATTTATTTATTTATAGCAGAATCAGTTATCAGTCAATATCAATGTTTATGTTTTATATTATATGTATAGCTAAAAAATTATTTTAAAGTATTAAGATAACAAAAATTGTTTTATAACATTGTAATTGCCCATCCACTGTGCTCTGGTCATTCTGTGCAATGACTGGGCAAAGTGTATAATTGTCCACATTGTCCATTGAAATTTGGCTTTGTATACATTGTCCGGGCATTGTACTACAACAGTACAACGCCCAATTATACACTCTGACCGTAACATATACATAATATAATAAACAATAATATATTATATTATATTTATAGAAATATATTTTAATATAGGTAATAAATAATATTGTACAATAATAACAACAAATAATAAGCGCTTGTAAATTTAAAACACAGACACTTTTACATTTTATTTAAATACTAATTTTAGATGTAGTACCTACTACCTACCCAAGTAGGTCTTTTACTGCCCGAAACCGTGATGACAAGAGCAACACACAAAAAAAAAATATAAAAGTTTAAATCAAGTTGTTTCTACAAAAATTCTTTTTAATTTTTATATAATTATGAATATTAATTATGGTTTAAAAAAAAAGTAGTAATTTTATTATTGTTTGCCGTTTGTTATAAAACGTATAGTATAGATATATAAAAAAATGTTTGCTTAAAATTAGCTAAATGAAAAATGGTAGTAAACATGATAAAACAGTTTTATAATATGTATTAAATTTAAATAAGATTATGAAAATGTGTAGAGATTCTTAAGTTTATTTTTGCCCCCACGTGAATAGAGTCCAAGTTACGCCTATGCTGGTGAGGGACTTGGATCCGCTTTTACCTTAGGCACGTTGTAATACACAGAATAGGATCAAGACATGGGCACAAATTGGGGGGGGGAGGGCAAGACAGGGCACTTGCCCCCCCCCTTGAAAAAAAATATTATGAACTGGTAGCTCAATAAATATTACCACAATATTACCTTATTACCGAAATTTTTTATATTGATCCCCCTAAAATGTTACCTATGGGCACCCATGGATCAAGCGTAAATAATACACGATTACACTTCCTACTGCATGTGCGATATTATATTATAATTTATAATCTAACTTTGGAGGGATCGCTATGTTAGCAACAACAAAAATATTGCTCGGGACAGGACTTAGGTAACCTTGTATAATAAGTTAACTCGTGATATTGCGATTCAGCGTTTACTTAATACGGATAATTACTAAACAGAATTAATAAATTATAATACACTTAAGTATACGGTTAAACATTAAACGGATAAGTATTGAATACAGTATCAGACTTATGGTCGCGACGGTCGTCGGGAACGCAAGACAAGACGGTGTCACCGGTCACTCGAATCGAAAAAACTGCGAACTGATCGGCGGTGCCGCCGTTGTGGTCGTACCGGCTAAAGTTTGGGCCCAGGGCACAGTGTGGCCAATCTGAGTTTAACAGCGCCGTAGCCCTAGCAATTTAATTTTTAGGTCCCTAACAACTATTTTAATATTATAAATATATAATAACACGGTCATCCAATCGCGGTCAGCAAAGAGCGTGTAGTGTGGCCTTCGAAAATATGGTAACAAAAACGCGAGATTCGTCGCATGAGAAAGGAATGTCTCGTAGTAATATAATAAATTGTTTATCGTTTATGTAACCACTAACCAATATTTAAATAATTAAATGCAGTAATATGTTGTATGTAACAATAAGTATCGTGAATCGCGGGCAGATATTAGGCTAGCACCCTCGAATGAAACAAAACGCCCGGGATACATCAAAAGAAAAATTGTATGACATTCAACAATTCAGGCAATGGTTGGATCGGCAAGCTACCGAGGAAATATCGGTCAAAATATGGGCCAGTTATGAGTGTTAATTGGTAACTTTTTCTTTTTGTGATAATGAGAAATAAGTACAAACATGAGTATAGAAATATATAATTTAATGAAACTCAGTGGGCCGATACCATGACCATCCTGTTACACCGTCACCGACTCGACAAAAGACGAAAACGCAACACGACAGTAGTATACCACTAAACCATGGTATAAGGGATGCGTGGACGGAAAAGGACGGATTACTTGTCATTGCATAACAACGGAATGCAAGAACACAGCGAATAGCGATACGGAACGCAAACAAACGTGACATACCACATACAAACCGATAAAATGTATAAATTCGACGGGAGCACCACAGTGACGCTCAAGGCGGAATGTGCCACAACAAAATACGAATGCACATTGAAATTATAAGATGACCCTTACGGCTAAGGCGGACATGTAACAAAAACGGCCATAAACCGTCAGCGTAATTAATAAAATAATTCGTGATGCTATAAAAAACGGCTGTCGCGACATAGCGACATGGCTGGCACTTGGACGCACACTTGGTCGAGGCAGAAGACGGGACATGACATGTGAATATAATATATATTATCATTATGTAGATGTCGTTGATAGTGACATCTTGGCCAGGTGCAACGGCGGGTTCGTTTTAATTCAAATCCTCGATGACGGGTGTATCACCAGCTGAAATAATATGCACTACAATGCCTGCGGTGAAATCACGACTTTCCAACTTGATTTTTGTCAGTCCTGCATATTTCAGCTCATTAAAAACTATTGATGCATCGAGTTGGCGGAGGACAGTGACCGGATCTCGAATTCGGACGAAATATTATTGTGAATCCACTGTGATATTATTTTTGGGCATGTATGTTAATGTATTATAAGAGCATTATGGTTTAAACGGTAGAGAAAGAAATACATTATTCCGCAGTGTTCGTTGTCACAATAATACTAAAATAATGTAATTTAAAGTAGAAGGATCGTATTTTGATTATCCAAATTGGATTTATCTTTTTGAGTGAACGACGATCCATACATTGATGCAAAAAATTTTGAAATTTGAAATATTTTTTTCACTTTTGAATTGCGTTGACATTAATGTTTATATTAGAGCTGTACTAGCCATTGAGGGTTCGGACACATTTTAAGACTGAATCATTTGACCCACTGAACCACCAAGTTGGTGGCACCAGCACTTTCTTTTGTTCTGCGATATTTACGCTTGGTAGCTTTTGCTTAAGGTCGATGGTCGATGGTTTAGGGGTACTTGACGATATAAGTAGTAAGAGGGTCACACTCTGGTACACTTTTCATAATATCAGAATAAGATCAGAAATTACGATTAATAAATGCACACCTTTTAAGTCCTATGTTTACTTAAAAGAAATTTGTTGCATCTATATTATAACCTAAAATGTTGTATAACTGCAGTAGTCCTAAGTCGGTATGAAAATGTGTTTTTGTAGGAGAATTCATTAATATGGTATCAAGTATTATTCAGGAAAGGTATGAACAATTAATATTTATAGAACATAATAACATGGGAAACTTGCACTTACATTTCTCATTATTGTAATTTGAAAAGACAATTACGTTAATAATTAATATTTGTTTCTCCTATTACCTCAGTCTTAATATTGACATATAAATTAATATAATACCAAATACTCTATGATACATCACATTTCACTTGTTTTATGTATTATTGGCCCCATATGTATATAATATACATATTTATTAAGTTTCACTATAATTAAACATTACAACAAAACATTAATTGCGTACATCATAATTGATTGTACCTTTAGAAATATTTCAAATCATAAATTATACCAATCTATTAATATTAACCTAATAAACTTGCGAAGATAGAAAAAAAAATAATGGTAACTAAAAAAAAAGGATTTTTAACTAATATTTTTAAGGCATTTCAGTATTTGTTATAAGGTAAATAATACCTTGGTCAATACTGAAATTATAATCTCAAATGTTCAATTTATTTGCAGGGAATTTTAAGTTTTGTCCAGACAAATGGCATGGTGACATTATTCAGCGAAAATCATCATATTGCCACAAAAGTGAATATGGTAATAAGTTCTAACAATCATTGACTGACGGATTAGGATCTGGTGATATGAAAAATTCATACAATAATATTGACATTTTTTTTTTATATAGATTAGGGCTTTACCACATTTTCCACCACAACCGATTCCAGAAATTCCCAAAGACTTCCACATTCTTTGCAGTTTTCTGGCAATCACAAGGCTGGCAAATCGTATGGGTGTACTGAACCGCAAATATCAATATAAAGTAAAAAATATGTCGAATAGCAATCTACAAGTGTCAATATACCACCTATATGAAAAAAAATTCAACAAAGTCGGGTTTTTTTTTATATCAACAAACAGTTCGTCGATCACATGAAAATATGTACACGGATTGGAAGGTCAAAATTCAATCTCTCTGCTTTAAACTCTATGAAACAGAAACGCCACTTTCAAAA